TTATATTCTTCTGGGGAAAACCGAATAATAGGGATACAGTAAAATAGATCGAAATCCGGATGCCCACGAGGGCTGAACATTTACCGAATAATAGGTTGATTGACGTTATCGATTTCGATTGGCTGCATGATTGGTTTCCTTTGGGTGAGTTATTTCAGCGTAGTATCGCGTTTCCTTCCATGGGGGTAGGAGTCTAGATGGGAAGTGGAGGTAAGAAGGAGTTAAGGAGAGTGGGCCTGATCTCTTCCGAAGATTGGATTGGAAGAACCAGTAGCTAACGTAGGGCAAGGTTCGCCACCCCTTGTGGTATCAACCATCCTCCACCGGGGTCGTGGAGAAGTGCTACCCGCTACCCTCCACTAATGTATGTATGTTTCCATTTTGCCATCTTCTTCCTCTGCTGTCTCCTCTTTTCAAAGTTTTGTAAATTATACAACCGAATAATCCGAATCCGAAATACTTGGCAAAGCCGAATAGGCATCGGAATGTTAAATATTCTCCTAGATCTTGAAGCCGATATCTCACAGGGAACGTACAAATTTATTCTTCGGCGGAATATCAGATGGTAGAAATACAGAAGAATTGACCGAAAATCGAATAACTGGGTGAATTTCTGCGGAATGATCGCTTGAAGTTTCAACAAAGCTGAATATTTGTCGGTACATGAATAACATCTCTTAACCCGTGCAGCCGAAATCCCGTGAAGTACGTAAATTTATATTTTCGGCGGAATGCTAGATGGTAAAAAAATAGAAGAATAGACTGACATCAGCATAAATTGAATGACTGTCGCTTCATTAATAAGCTTTCTTAACTTGTGTACCGGAAATCTTGTGAGAAACCGATATTTATTTTCTTCGGTGGAATGAAGAACGGTAGAAATACAGTAGTTTAGACGGAAATCCGGATGCCCGGGAGGGCTGAATTTGTACCGAATAATTTGTTGGAATTTCATTTAAGTCGAATGGCTATCGGTTCATTAATTAGGATTTCTTAACTAGTGCACCGAAAATGTTATGGGGAACATATAATTATATTTTTCGTCGAAATACCGCATAATAGGAATAGAGTTAAATAGACCGAAAATTGAACACAGGGCTGAATTTTTACCGAATAATGGGTTGATTGATTGCGAACCGGCTCGCATGACATGATATTATCGATTTCAATAGTCTGCATGATTGGTTTCCTTTGCGCGAGTTATTTCAGCGTAGTGTCGCGTTTCCTTCCATGGGGTACAAGTTTAGGTGGGAATTATTATGGAGGTTGGTAGGAACAAAGGATAGTGGACCTGATCTCTTCCGAAGATTGGATTGGAAGATGAACCAGTAGCTAACGTAGGGCAAGGTTCGCCACCCCTTGTGGTATCAACTATCCTCCACCGGGATCGTGGAAGAGTGCTACCCGCTACCCTCCACTAATGTATGTAAGGTTATGATGGTTATGATCTAAAAATATAATTTTTTCCTTCCGCCGTCTTCCTCTGATGCCTCCTCCATCTGTCGTTTTGTAAATACAACCGAATTTCCCGAATCACGAATACTTGGGAAAGCCGAATAGGTATCGAAAAGTAAAAAATTCCCATAGCTCGTTAAGCCGATATCTCACAGGGAACGTACAAATTTATTCTACGGCGGAATTCCAGATGGTAAACATACAGTAGAATTGACAGAAAATAGAATAACTGGCTGAATTTCTGCGGAATGATCGGTTGAAGTTTCAACAAAGCTGTCGGTACTTAAATAACTTCTCTTAACCCGTGCACCCGAAAATCCCGTGAAGAACCCATGTTTATATTTTCGGCGGAATGACGGATGGTAGAAATAGAATAGAATAGACCGAAAATCAGTTACCCGTATGGGCCGAATTTGTATCGAATAATTGACTGGAATTTCAATCAAGTCGATTGGCTGTCAGTTGTTTAACAAGTAGTCTCGCCTCGTACACCGGAAACTTTGTGGGGAAAATATATTTATATTCTGCGGCAGAAAGTCGGATGGTAGAAATCCAGTAGAATAGACCGAAATCGTGAGGCTCAGGAAGGCTGAATTTGTTCAGAATAATTGATTGGAATTTCGGTTAAGTCGAATGACCGTCGGTTCATTAAAAAGCTTCCCTAACCCGTACACCAGAAATCGTGTGAGAACGTATATTTATATTCTTCTGGGAATATCAGATAATAGGGATACAATAAAATAGATAAAAAAATCCGGATGCCCACGAGGGCTGAACTTTGACCGAATAATAGGTTGATTGACGTTATCGATTTCGATTGTCTGCATAATTGGTTTCCTTTGGGTGAGTTATTTCAGCCTAGTGTCGCGTTTCCTTCTATGAGGGTACGAGCCTAGGTGGGAAGTGGAGGTAAGAAGGAGTTAAGGACAGCGGACCTGATCTCTTCCGAAGATTGGATTGGAAGATGAATCAGTAGCTAACGTAGGGCAAGGTTCGCCACCCCTTGTGGTATCAACTATCCTCCACCGGGATCGTGGAAGAGTGCTACCCGCTACCCTCCACTAATGTATGTTAGTTTATGATGTAAATTNTATGTTTTCCTTGCCTTTTCTGCCGTCTTTAAATACAACCGAATAGCCTGAATCCCGAATACTTCTCAAAGCCGAATAGGTATCGGTATGTAGAATCTTCTCTTACTTAATGAAGCCGGTATCTCACAGGGAACGTACAAGTTTATTTTTCGGCGGAATGATTGATGGTAGAAAAACAGTAAAATTGACCGAAAATCGAATAGCTGGCTCAATTTCTGGATAATGATAGGAAGAAATTTCGACAACGCCGAATAGCTGTCGGTACTCAAATAACTTATTTTAACCAATGCAGCCGAAATTCCGTGGAGAGCCTATATTTATATTCTTTGGCTTAATGCCGAAAGGTAGAAATGCAGTAGAATAGACCGAAAATCGGATACCCGGTAGGGCTGAAGTTGTACCGACCAATTGATTGGAATTTCGGTCAACTCGAATGACTGTCGGAGTACCGGAAATCTTGTGGGGAACGTATCTTTATGTTCTTTGGCATAGTCTTCGGCGGAATGCAGGATGGTAGAAATACAGTAGAATAGACAGAAAGTCGGAAAACTGAGTGTTGAATTTGTACCGAGCAGTTGATTGAAATTTCGGCCAAGTCGTTTGGCGGAATGCCGGATAATAGGAATACAGCGACATAAACCGAAGATTGAATACCCGACTTAATTTTTACAGAATAATATAGGTAAATTGATTATGAACCGGTTCGCATGATGTGATATTATAGATTTCGATGATTGGTTTCCTTTGGATGAGTTACTTCAGCGTAGTGTCGCGTTTCCTTCCATGGGGGTAGGAGTCTAAGTGGGAAGTGGAGGTGAGTAGGAGCAAAGGACAGTGGGCCTGATCTCTTCCGAAAATTTGATTGGAAGATGAATCAGTAGCTAACGTAGGGCAAGGTTCGCCACCCCTTGTGGTATCAACTATCCTCCACCGGGGTCGTGAAGGAGTGCTACCCGCTACCCTCCACTAATGTATGTAAATTTATGATTTAAATATAATATTTTCCTTCTGCCGCCTCGTCCATCTACCGTCGAGTAAATACTACTGAATAGCCTGAATCCCGAATACTTGGCAAAGCCGAATAGGTATCAGTATGTATAATAGCTGGTGAAGCCGACATCTCATAGGGAATCAGAATGATTGAAGGTAGAAATATAGTAGAATTGACCGAAAATCGAATAACTGGCTGTATTTCTGCGGAATGATCGGTTGAAGTTTCAACAAAATCCAGTAACTATCGGTACTTAAATAACTTCTCTTAACCCGTGCACCCGAAATGCCGTTGAGAACGTATATTTATATTTTCGGCAGAATTACGAATGGTAGAAATACAATAGAATATAAAAAATTTGTATCGAATAATTGACTGGAATTTCAACCAAGTCGAATGGCTGTCGGTTGTTTAATAAGCAGTCTTGCCTCGTACACCGGAAACTTTGTGGGGAAAATATACTTATATTCTGCGGCAGAAAGCCGGATGGTAGAAATCCAGTAGAATAGACCGAAATCGTGATGCCCAGGAGGGTTAAATTTGTTCCGAATAATTGATTGGAATTTCGGCCAAATTGAATGGCCATCGTTTCATTAAAAATCTTCCTTAACTCGTACACAACAAATCTTGTAGGAAATGTATATTTTTGTTGTTCGGCAGAATGACAGATGGTAGAAATACAGTAGAATAGTCAGAAAATCGGTACCGATTGATTGGAATTTCGGCCAAGTCGAATGACTGTCGGTTCATTAAGTTGTGCGTCGGAAATCTTGTGGGGAACGTATATTAACATTCTTCTGGGGAATATCTGTCAGTACATGAATAATTTATCTTAACTCGTGTACTCGAAATCCAGTGGAGAACATACATTTATATATCAGATGATAAAAATACACAGGAATAGAATAGACCGAAAACTAGATATCCTATAAGAAGCGAATTATTGTGATTTCCTCACCACCCTTGGGGTATCACAGTTGGTGCGTTGACCTATTATGATGGGGGTCTCGCCAGTAGCCCTACTCCCATGTTTCTGTTTGCCTATTCTTTCTAATACCTCTTCATTTCTAACCTTCTCTATCCACGGTATCATCATTTGACTATAAAGCCACATTTCGAACGCTTCTAACCGTTTCTTTTCCGCCGCGGCCTTGGTCCGTATTTCGCACCCGTACAAATCTAAATATACTCAATCTTTTGCCACTCTAAATCTATCCCTATAGCTGTCCGGTCTTTAGTGATGTTTTGATGATTAAAAGGTAACGGTGACAATATGCATCCCTGTCTGATTTTAATTTTGTAGGAAATGTAAATTTAGGTTGCTGTTCGTGATTATTTTTTTATTTCTTACTCTACTACTACGGAGTGCAGTTTAAGTTGAGGGAAATTATTTTGTAACGTTGTTATCAATATTTCTAACCTCATCATATCAAATCAATTACAAAACATAATTTAATTTTTAGAAAGATTTATTTTTCCGCTGTGCATTTCTCGGCAAGATTACTACATATTATCTGGTGGAATTGAAATTGTGACCAACTTATTATGCATTATTCTAACGCTCAAGTGTAATAGAAGACATTATGTTATAGCCACGTCACTATTAGTCACTTGTTTGGGATATTTTGCTGCATTTGCACTCAACGAAAGTACGTTCAACCGCTTCCAGTTTTTGAAAATATTTATTGATTGATTTATATCCAAATTTGCTGTTCATATGTCATTATAATAAACTTTTTCCAAAGGTACATAAAATACCACAAATGGCGCGGTAAACGCCATCTGTAGTACGATGCAACATTTAGTGGAATTCGTTATGCTCAACAAGGTCCATTTAAATAGATGGATATAATTTGTTTGTTCGATTTTGGTAACGTGCCTATCACGCAGCAAGTAGATATCCGTCTATTTAAATGGATCTTGTTGAGCATAACGAATTCCACTAAATGTAGAATTGTACTACAGATGGCGTTTACCGCGCCATTTGTGGTATTTTATAAAACGCGGTAAAAAGCGGGTAAAAATTGGTCTGTGTTCTGTCAAAACTATCTGCGATGCGCTGATGAGATCCAAAAAGATCGAAATCGCGATCCGCGCGTCTGGCAGTTTCGACAGAATATTGACCACTTCGAATTTTTTTTTGTACTGCATATTTATGTAATTTTTAATTTTAAGATTCCATAATGCATCTGATAATGATAGCAGTAGCCGATATAAGTTCGAGCATCACCTACGTAGTTATCAGCTTATTAATAACAACGATATCATCCACGAAATACAGATGTACTTGCACTGGTTTACTTAACGGGTTGGGGTTTACCATGGGCACGATAGTTACAAACCATTTTCAACATCATCTAATCAAAAAGACTCCTGCCCTATTCTTGGTATTGAGCATAGTATCGTTTATTGGATCAATTGTTTCGTATTTTTCACCCTTGATCAATGAAGAGGACGAACTGTCAGAAAATATGGACGATAATAAGACCTGGGATCCGTGAATCTCAAAATTTACGAAACTGTTAAAACTCATGGAAAAAACGGTAAAATAGAAGATAGTATTCCTGTACCCATATTTCAAAAATTTAATGATTTATTAAATAAATTTGTCAACTTCTCAATCGCTTTTTCGTTTTAAAAATTACAGCAAAAGTGTAGAAATTTCAAAAAACAGGAGATAAATATTAATACTATTGCTATAAACGTATAACTGAAATAATTGCGTAGCCTGCAGATGATAGGGAACTATCTATCATCAATATCATCAGGTCGTCAGTCCTAAGACTGGTTTGACCTATTTGCGAACAGTAATCTAATCTAGATCTACCTCTACCCCTCCTAATTCCCGTTTCTGCCTCTAATATGTCCCTAACTAGACCTTCATGTCATACCAACTTATCTCGCCTATTTTTTATTGACTTCCACAGTTCCCCTGTTCTCCTATTCTTTCTAATACCTCTGCATTTTTAACCTTCTCTATCCACGGTGTCCTCATCATTCGCCTATAACACCACATTTCAAACGCTTCTAACCTTTTCATTTCTGAAACACCCACCATCCTTCTTCGCACCCGTACAGCGCCCCCCTTCAAACATACTCCTTTAACAATCTATTTCAAATTTCTAAATTTAACCTTTGCTAACATAGAAGTGACTCCTCCTATTTACTACTCTACTTTGCTACTCCAGCTATTTAATTGCCTGCTGCTCTTTACAAACTCTTCTATTTCTGTAACTCATCTTCTAAACCAACATTGATTTTCCCCTAATACTTCCACTACCCTACGAAACTAAAAATTTGCAAACAATTTAATAGTTTGATTAGCATTCATCTTCCTGTCTTTTACTGTTGCCTAGGTACTGAAATACTACAATAGCAACAAATATTTGGCAGCCTACAAGGATTTGTAAAACGGATTCATCAAAGTTTCAATAATATCCATGATTTACATAAAAAGTAAATGTAAGTACCTAAATAAAAATTTCTTTTTTAAATTTTAATGTGTTCCTCAATTTAATCCAAAAATCAATTATTAGACAGATATAATTCGTACATATCAGTAAGCGACGAGTCACTTAAAAATCATAATAACTGCTTTCATTAGTTCTTTTGCAAAAAATATTTCATTATTATATTAATAATTGCTTAACCGACTTAACCTCAAAAGAAGTGTAAGTGTAAATAGATCATATGTTTGGCGCCCTCTATTGCTACAATCTTAACCATTATACGTTACTGTTTTCAAATTCAACTTTGTTTAAGCTGAAAATAACTTATGGTTGGAAATCAACAAGAAAGGAGAATTGACGAAGGAATTAATTGTGTTGTTTATTTTTACCTTTTCTTATGGCACTGCTGTAAATTTGCATCACTATACTTTTCGATATTGGGGTTATTCAGTTAGAAGATGTGAAATACCTGTCCTAGAAGACAGTTTCAATTTTGATCAAGTTTTAGATATTTCAACCTATGGAGTTACACCCGAAGTAAGGTACACAATGACAATAAAATACATAAATAAAAACTAGAACCGTTGTTTGAGGATGATGATTTTAGTTAGCCTTTTTGGAAAATCAGTAAGGAAATCATTATAAAATAAGGCTAATAATAATTTCTGAGAATCTGTTCCACCTAATGCGTATTTATCCATAGCTCTGTTGTTATACATTTAATTAAAAAAAAGGTTTTTATAAAAGTGGTCCGAAATAATCATACGGTACATATCATCATCATCATCATCATCATAAGGTCATCAGTCCTAAAACTGGTTGGACACGTACCTCCACTCTTTCCTATTCTGAGCTAAACTTCGCATTTCCCTAAAACTAGAACAGCCCACATCCTTAACTATTTGCGAACAGTAATCTAATCTAGGTCTACCTCTACCCCTCCTCACTCCTGTTTCTGCCTCTAATATGTCTCTCACTAGACCTTCATGCCTGAGAAGGTGTCCTACCAACCTATCTCGCCTATTTTTTATTGACTTCCATAGAGTCCTCTGTTCTCCTATTCTTTCCAATACCTCTTCATTTCTAACCTTTTCTACCCACGATATCCTCATCATCCGCCTATAACACCACATTTCGAACGCTTCTAATCTTTTCTTTTCCACCGCTCCCACTGTCCATGTTTCGCACCCGTACAACGCCGTGCTCATATACAGAAAATATTTTCTATTTCTTCTAGGCGCTACCTAACTTCATTATTTTAAATGGAACACCCTATGTTTTTAAATTTTTGGTTTCTTTGCTTAATTTTAAGTTAACATTGTTAGCAATTCTCTATATATATATCCTATCTCGACTTTGAACTTTAACCAAACAACTGCTAAACCATAAAATTTAAAAACATGTGGTTTGGATAGTCCCTTTTAGTAATTCATATTGCTAGGGGCAAAATGTGTACGTACGTTATTTAGAAGCGGAGATATCGAAACTCACTTTTGACAATCTTAGAAGACGAATAACTTTTTTTTCAAATAGAATGACCCATAATAAATGTTACCGTTCGATGCAAAATTGAAAGTCCTTTCTACTGATATAAGGTTTTAAATACATTTTCGGTTTCTTTGTTTAAATTTATATAGACTTTGTTAATAGTTCACTATACCTATCTCTAGTAGTTTTTGAGATATTTAACTGTTTTTGAAAAAAAACACGATTTCAGCTCTTTGAATGAGACCAAATAACATCTAAACCATAACAACTAAAAATCTGCGGTTTAGTCAATATTCAAAGGAAACATTGAAACCTACTTTTGACAATNAAGGTTTTAAATATAAAATAATCGATTGTTTTTTTTTGAAAAACTGATGAATATTTAAAACCTTATGTATGAGTCACTCCATTTAAAAAAAAGGTATTCCTTATAAAATTGTCAAAAGTAGGTTTCGATATTTCCGGTTCTAAATAATGTACACATTTTGCACATAGCAAAATAGATACGGTAATTCGTACTAAAACGAAGTATCCAAACCACAGGTTTTTTGGCTTTTATGGTTTAGATGTTATTTGGTCTCATTGAAAGAGGTAAGATCGTGTTTTTTTTTTTTTTTAAATAGTTGAATATCTCAAAAACTAGTGGAATTAGGACATAGATAATTGTTAACAAACTTGATTCAAAATTAAAGTAACCAAAAATATAAAAATATATAGGGTATGAAACAGAACACCCTGTATGACTGAAATATTTTCTGTATATGCACTATATGATTCCGGGCCACTTTTATAAAAACATAAAAACAGATTTATAGACGAGATCTCCTTATGTGGAACACCCTGTATAATTTGGTAACAACATTTTTAGATTTCCTGGTTCTATAATCTACTGCAAATATGCTGATAGAGATTATAATAGTTTATTAAAAAGCAATAATAATAATTACGAGTCCATAATGAAATCTTTACGAATCGATAAAACTCCTTTCAACGAAAAGACGTGCGCTTATAAAATAAAAGAGCGAAGACTTGAACCACAATTGTCCCTTCTATCGAAATCGTTTCAAAATATTTTCGATGAGGTACTAGATACATTTCAATTGCATAACTAGTTGTAATAAGATTAATAACCGTCTTATTTTTTGCTAGAGAAACAAAACGTGTAAAGACTTCAAATATTACAGAATCACACAAAAAAGTCAGTTTCTGGGCGTAATTTTTGGTGCGCTATCAATGTCCACATTGGCTGACAGGTAGGTACCATTTAATTAAATTTGTGTAATATGCACAGTTACATATTTTATTTTAGATATGGGCGACGCCCAATATTTATTGGTTGTTATATTTGTGAATTCCTGGGACTTCTTTTGTTCTTTGTACCTTTTGTTTCATGTATGATTTTGGGTAATTTCTTAACTGGTATTGGACTATACGGATTTTTAGTACTTTACATCATTTGTAAGTATTATTTTGCGTCCAAACGGAATGGACAGGGCCGGCCCCGATTTCGCTCCCCGCATTAGTATGATGCTAATTAAGAACGAATACGTATTTCTTTTTTTTTTGTAAAAGACACAGTGGTTCATACTATTCGAGGTAAAAGAAAACAGCTGAAAAAGTGGCGGGTGTATGTTACTCCGTTGTATAGTTGGTTGCCTATATTCTATTGCCACGATATAACCTTTAAATTCGGAGTATATTTGGTTGCATATACGAATCCAGTGTAAGTATATAAATGGAATTTTGCAGTAACAGAGCGATGTGACAGAAAAAGAAGACTTATATTGGGAACAAGTGTCTTAGTTTGTATCCCGCTTTCCAAAATTATCGGTGTTATAATAGAAGTAGTGGGAAATAAATGGATGTATCCCATCATTACAAGTCTAACCATCTTAACAATAATAGCCCCTGTAATACACTGGTACGCATTAATAATATTTATCGAATTGACGACGATAATTTTGCATGTGTAAATCGGTATTGATTTATTAAGTTTTGTAGGTTTGTGGATGAGCCTCCTAAGTATTTAATGTACAGCGGCCGAGTACAGAAATGTATCAAAGTGTTGGAAAAATACGGTTACCGAAGAGACACTGCGTCGAATGTACCAAAGATGCCTGTCATTAGCACAACTTTTATTGCGACGCGTTTTTTTCATGCAAAACTTAGAGCAAGACACGCGTACTCGTTCTTTTTATCGTATTTACTTAGCATTGTTGGCGTTATACACGGTTACTACTATTTATATCTGTTCCCGGAAATGTATGAAATCTAGGAATTGTAACAATTACCAGGAAATTATACAATTCCTAGGCTATTTAGGAAATGTATAAAAGATTGTTTCAAAGATTTTTTTATAGGCACATATCCTAGGAAATATATGCATTTCCTAGGAATTGTATGAAGTTCCGATATTATCCTAGGAAATGTATAAAAGTAATGATTTCTGTGAATAAAATACTCTAACATATCAACAAAATTCATATGCATTGGTGACATCATTGTTTAGTTAGGTAGATTTATGGCAGATTAGAGTTCATTTGATGCCCCTGCCCGCAAGAGGCGGGCTGATATGTTACAGTATTTCCCAGGATATGTCATCATCATCATAAGGTCGTCAGTCCTAAGATGGTTACACACGCACCTCCACTCTTTCCTATTGTGAGCTAATCTTCGCATTTCCCTAAAACTAGAAAATCCCACATCCTGAACTATTTGCGAACACTAATCTAATCCAGGTCTACCTTTACCCCTCCTAACTCCTGTTTCTGCCTCTATCATGTCTCTGACTAGACCTTCATGCCTAAGAAGGTGTTCACCTTCATGCCTAAGAAGGTGTCCTACCAACCTATCTCGCCTATTTCTTATTGACTTCCATAGAGTCCTGTTCTCCTATTCTTTCTAATACCTCTTCATTTTTAACCTTCTCTATCCGCGGTATCCTCATCATTCGCCTGAAAAACCACATTTCGTAGGCTTCTAACCTTTTCTTTCCCGCCGCGCCCACTGTCCATGTTTCGCACCCGTACAACGTCGCGCTCCAAACAACTTTAACAATCTATTTCGAATTTCTAAATTTATCGTTCGCGAACATAGAAGTAACTTTTTTTTATTGAAGGCCACTCGACCCTGCGCTATCCTCTGGTTTAAATCCCTACTACTCCTTCCGTCCTGACTTATCTGACTTCCTAGATACCTAAAATCAGCCACTTCTAATCTTTTGTCTCCTATCTTTATATTCGCTCTTTCCTTACTTTTTCTTCCCTTGCATTCCAGTATTTGTGTTTTACTTTTATTTATTTTCATACAATACTGTTTTGTCAATACCGCTTCCATTTTATTTAAAGCTATCTCTAGGTCCTCCTTGCTAGATGCTAATACTGCTATATCATCTGCAAATCTAAGCATACTAATCTTTTGCCCCTGTATATCTATCCCTACAGTTGTACTGTCTTTAATGATGTTGATTGCGTCTTCGATGTATTGATTAAAAAGTAGCCTGTGCATCCCTGTTTGACTCCCTTCCTAATATGTATTTACATCTCTACAGGTATGTTGCTGCTCCAGCTCTATAACTGCCTGTTACTTTTTATACAAACTAAGTATCACTCTTCTATCTCTGTAGCTCATCCCTACATTTTTAGGTATATTTAACATCTTGTTCCAGGATATGTGTTTATTAAAAAATCTTTGAAATAATATTTTGTACATTTCCTAAATAGCCTCGGGATTGTATCTATACATTTCCTAGGAATTGTATGCAATTCCTAGATTTCATACTTTTCCGGTAACATCTACATATATATGTATAGTAAAAAACTTTTTATCGCCATTTTAACCCCCCCCCCTTTTCAGAAACCCACGCAGTAATTACTGGTAAATTTGATATGACTGTAGCCAATATTCTAACCGGAATATTCGAAGTATGGCGCCCAAAATGTTTGACATTTGTCGTTCAAATTCGTTCTTGTCATTTTTAGTGCATCCACATAGGAATAATGTGCTTCATAATTTCTCGAGATTTGTACGGAAGGAAGGACTTCATATTCACTTTTTTTCTGACAATGACGCTAACTCATATGTTCGTTTTCGCCCAATACGATCGTACAGGTAACATATATAAACATGACAATAAATTTCTATTTTCTTAATTTCACCACTGCATCGTAGCCAAGGGGTAGACAGTCCTAACGAATTCACTAATTCTAATTTCTCTACCTAATATTTTGTCTTAGGCTAATACTGAGTTTCACGTAATTCCGTGAGAATTGCCCTTTTCCACTTTTCCTTGTAGTATATTATTATGAGCCAATCCTGATTGCATAGTTAGGCTACGATCCTGTTTCACTTAGACGCAGGGATAGCTAACCTTTACGTATTGACGTGCCATTTTTATAAAGAAAAGTTTAAACAGGTCAAAGACGTGCCATCAAATAATTTTGTCTCTGTGATTATTGGGAAAATAAAAATAATATCAACAAACTTTTTTGTTTACTACAAAAAAATAGGAACATTTTGCAATGTTTAAATTATACGTGTAATTTAAATTAAAGTAAAATTAGTGTTACTTTTGTTATTGCAGATTAGATGACAAATAACTTATGTTAGGGTTGTTTTAGCAGAATGCATGCTGAACTGGAGTTATGTGTCAAACGATTTCTAACCGACTCGCATGCATAGGTTGAGGAAAAAACATTGTTAAAATAACATAAGCCAGCTACTTCAAACAATTAAAAGTGTTTGGTAACGCATTTCATGTTTCCAAAATTTTGTTATTAGCATTTTCACTTGTATCATCTGCCAATCTTTCTATTTTAATTAGTTTCCTTATTTCAATAAAGTTTTGGATCCATATTGAACTAGACTTTATGATTGATATTAGTGACGTGCCCAAAATATTGTGTCGCGTGCCACTAATGGCACGCGTGAAATTGGTTCGCCATCCCTCACTTAGAGGCATCATCTAAATCAAATGCATAGAGCACAAATGAAAGAAAAAAAGGGAGAAAACGTTCATTTTTCCCCCTTTCCTTAAGAAATCCTACAAGCTATCTCTAGCAGTGTATACTCAAAATTCACTTCAACATCATAATAGGTCGTCATTCCTAAGAGTGATTCGAAATGCACCTCCACTCTTTTCTATCCTAAGTTAATCATCGCATTTCCCTAGAAATAGAACATCCGATCCCACATCATCCTAAGATCGTCAGTCCTAAGACTGGTTGGACACGCACCTCCACTCCTTCCTATTTTGAACTAATGTTCGCATTTCTCTAAAACAAGAACATCCCACTTCCTTAACCACTTGCGACCAGGAACCTAATCCAGGTCTACCCTCTACTACTCCTGTTTCTGCCTCTAATATGTCTCTGACTAGACCTTCATGCCTGAGAAGGTGTCCTATCAACCTATCTCACCTATTTTTCATTGTCTTCCATAGAGTCCTCTATTCTCCTATTCTTTCTAAAACCTCTTCGTTTCTAACCTTCTCTATCCACGGTATCCTCATCATTCGCCTATAACACCACATTTCGAAGGCTTCTAACATTTTCTTTTCCTCCGTGCCCACCGTCCATGTTTTGAACCCGTACAGCGCCGTGCTCCAGACATAACACTTTTAAATTTTTTTTTCGAATTTCTAAATAAATCGTTCGCGAACATAAAAGTGACATTTTTTTATTGAAGGCGACACGACCCTTCGCTATCCTCTGCTTTATATCCCTACTACTCCTTCCGTCCTCGCGTATCTGACTTCCTAGGTACCTAAAATGAGCCTCTTCTACTAATTTTTCGTCTCCTATCTTTATATTTGCACTTTCCCTACATTTTCTTCACTTGCATTCCAGTATTTTTGTTTTACATTTATTTATTTTCATACAATACTGTTTTGTCAATACCGCTTCCATTGTATTGAATGCTACCTCCAACTCCTCCTTGCTAGATGCTAATACTGCTATATCATCTGCAAATCTAAGTATACTAATATTTTGCCCCTCTATATCTATCCCTACATTTGTATTGTTTTTAATGTTGATCGCTTCTTCGATGTATAAATTAGTAGAAAATTAGCTGTAGCAGTGTGCATCCTTGTCTGACTCCCTTCCTTATATTTACTTCTCTACCTTGCGGATTGATCTTCCCCTAACCTTCCGCCCTTTTTTCCATTCTTTTCGGTATAGTTCCCATCCCACATCCTAAATTATTTATGAACACTGAACAGCAATCTAATCTCTCCTGCATCACTTATCTCTGCGCTCCTGTCGTTCGTTTCGACCGCTTCCTTTAATATTTCGTCCATACTTTAATCTAGACTTAAAACGCGTTTCGTTACATTTTACTTTTTCTAAATCACTTCCATTTTGTTTTTTAGAATTATTTATATCGGTATTATTTTTATTCGTATATTCTTTGGGACACGCGGGACTCTACTTCCTGCTCTTTTACTACATGGAGCTGTACCCAACCCGCATCCGAGTTTCCTGCTTGTGCCTGAACGTTTTAGGAATATCTTTCGGAGTTCTGACCAGCATTGGTTTATCCTCATTGAATTTGGTATAATAAAATATAAATTAATAATTCCGAATTGACTCAAACTTTCGCGGTCGTCGTTGATGATATTATTGTCAGTTGTCGAGTTTTTTGGCCGTTGTTAAGAGCTTTTCTTCTCAATGTTTCGTCGACACCCGTTGACGACATCTTCAGGAGTTCTTCCTAGAATGGTAGGTCTCCAAAAGACACCCAGTCGACCGTTTGACTGGGTAGTGTTAGTGGATTCAATCCAAGGAGTGCCTACCAACGAAAACCCCTCCACATCAGGCCTATCAATGTAGGTCCTGGTCGTCTTCAGTCGTGATAGGTCGAAGTCTTATAGATCATATTTATATTGATTCTCATTATAACCGTCACACTTCGGGATGTGTTGCAATTGATCGAGACAGTTAGTGTCGTGTAGGTCGCAGCATCGAGTAAAAGCATTTGCTTTAATTTTGGTGTATAAGTCCTGACAGTTACTGATAACCATTTTCGACAAATCTCGGAGATTTATCAGTCTTGTTGAGATCGTCTTTATGCTTCTTAATATCAATAGCTTCCCTGTCATGTCTTGGATGGTAAGCCGAATCTTGGCACATTACCCAGCAGGTTACTATCCAAGACTCGGCAGGGAAGCTATTGAAAATCAGAAGCATGTAGACAATTACAACAAGACTGAAGAATCCGTGAGATTTGTCGAAAATGGTTGGGAGTAACTGCCAGAACCGATACATTAAAACCAAAATGCTTTTGCTCGGGGTTCCGACCCCAACGACACTAACAAACTCGGCCAATGGCAACGCACGGAAGCGTGATGGTTATAATGCGAAACAATATAGATATGAGCTAAGGCTTCGACCTACCATCCTGGGAAGAAGAACTGCTGAAGATGTCGCCCACATGTATCAACGAAACGTTGAGGATAAAAACTCTGACCGATGTCTAAAAAGTCCGAAAACTGACGATAATAAGTTGAAAGCAAATCCTTTTCTAATAAATGCACTAGCATCATAAAGAATTGATTTTTCAGGACCCTTTAGCTACTGTATTTTTCCCAGAATTTGTAGCATCGACTATATGCTGGCTAATGTCCTGCTTTGCCTGTGAAACAGTAGGAATCGATATACCCGACAATTTAAGAGAAACTCCTTGATTATAATTAACTTCAACATTTTGACGACGGAGTGCATCCTATGACCAACAACCCCTAAACCTTCAGAACAGCATGCTGCTTAAAAGGCAAATGTACGGCTATTTTGTACTTAGTAATAAAGCCTAACTGATGAAATGAAATTAATCGTATTACTAGAGCTATCATGTTCTCTATAGGTATATTATGACTACTATAAATTAAAGCTCAATTTATTGTACAAAGGAAATTTATACAAAACTAATTTTCGCATTTCCCTAAAACTAGAACATCCCACACATCCTTAAGTATTTACGGACAGGTCTACCCCTACTCCTGTTTCTGTCTCTAATATATCTCTAACTACATCTTCATACCTGAGAAGGTGTCCTACTAACCTATGCCTGTTTTTTATTGACTTCCATAGAGTCCTCTGTTCTCCTATTCTTTCTAATACCTCTTCATTTCTAACCTTTTCTACCCACGTTATCCTCATCATCCGCCTATAACACCACATTTCGAACGCTTCTAACCTTTTCTTTTCCGCCGCGCCCACTGTCCANACCTCTTCATTTCTAACCTTTTCTACCCACGTTATCCTCATCATCCGCCTATAACACCACATTTCGAACGCTTCTAACCTTTTCTTTTCCGCCGCGCCTACCGTCCATGTTTCGCACCCATACAACACCGTGCTCCAAACATAAACCTTTAACAACCTTTTTCGAATTTCTAAATTAACCCTTCGCGAGCATAGAAGTGACTTCTTTTTATTGAGGGCGAGTCGATCCTACGCTATCCTCTGCTTTAATCCCTACTACTCCTTCCGTCCGACTTATCTAACTTCCTAAAACCTAACCAAAAATCATCCAGTTCTTCTAATCTTTCGTCTCCTATCTTTACATTCGCTCTTTCCCTACTTTTTCTTCTCTTACATGCCAGTATTTTTGTTTTACTTGTATTTATTTTCATACAACACTGCTAGCTCAAAACCCCAACGCCAAAACACGACACTGTAGTTGTCCGAAGTACTTTTCGGTAACAAAGTTACCTTCTTCTTCAGTCCTAAAGTTACCTTCTTCAGGGACTTAGTAAACTCTCTCTCAAAGGGGGGGGGGGGGGGGGTAACTTTGTTACCGAAAAGTGCTTCGGACAACTACAGTGTCGTGTTTTGGCGTTGGGGTTTTGAGCTATTCTGTTTGTTCTACAACAACCGCCAAAGTTTTTCAAATCGCATGGGAAGTTACGCTAACTGTTCTAAATGTTTCGCACCTATCCATGCCTCTCTTTTCAGGTATAGTTACTACCACGTTCCGTTTATAATCCACTGGGACTTTCCCCGTCTCCTAAATGTGACTAACTAGCTTAAAGATACCATCTCTAACTTCTTGTTTTAAAATTTCCGCCTGTATCCCATCTATACCTGAGGCCTTATTATTCTTGAAGCTTTTTAATCCTACATCGAACTCTTCTCTGATTATGAGATAACCTAGTTTATCTATCTCCACACTATCTTCCTTTTCTAATATATCTCCTAACTCATGGCCTGCGTATAGGTTCTTTAAGTATTCTTTCCACATGTCTATCTTTTCCTCATTTTCTATCAAAATGACCCCTACCTCGTTTCTTATATTATTTCTACAATTATTCAATTCTGACTTCTGTTTATAACAACGATCTCCTATCCAGATCTTTAGTAAAATCTACATGTCTTTCCGTATCTATTTTTATACCTCTCTACATTTTCAAGTAACTTTAATATTACTATTATTACTCCCTCCTACCAATCTATCTTCCACCCTCTTCACATCTATTGCAGTCTCCCAAATTATCTTCTTATTATCCTCCAACACGCCTTCTATATGTCTACATGATACGTTACCCTTTCTCTCATTATTTTATTATTAATTTCTACCATTCTCATTTATCTATAGGCAAGAAAGCGTTTCATTACCTACTTTTGAGTACAACACATGCAAAGAATTTTAAGCTTCCATTTAAACCTACAAGGGGTAGGTCGTAATTAAACACAAATAAAAGCCTAAAAATTCCTTGCAGTAAATTTCTGCGAGAGTTTAAATCTCAACCTTTAACCACAGCATACGGTTGTACTGCTCTACAAAAGGGATCTATATGAGTTGAAAATTCTATTCCAGACACTTTGCCACCAAAAGCATCTATTAAAGCTTAAAAACTTTCTCACTCTGCAAGAGGCAGACGGAAACGATTATAAAAGACAGTAGCGTAACGTGGGGGGCGCAAATGTGGACGGCAAATTTAAGCTTCGCCCTGGGTGGAAGTAATTCACGCTACGCCACTGATAAAGGGAAAATGAAAGCTTTGTGGAATATAAAATTGGGCAGCAACTTTGCCACCAAGCAAACGGGGAAAGTATAAAAATCCTACCTTAGTATCACGGCGCCGATCGAACGACTTAAAAAGAAAGAAAATCGAATCGAAAAACACTAAAATACGATCACTACTACTACTTTTTTCGTATACTGTGGCAACTTCCATCTTGCCAAAACCCCCGCACTTACGCACGGTACTGTACGCACTCCCGCCACAAAAACCTTTCACAACCCGACTGAAAAATTCCCTAAAAAAAAACAAACCGGACCGAGAGACCGAACGCGACCTGAAAAAAAGCCCTACATTAATACACCCCCGAGGTGTCGCGACCCGGAGTGTCACTACGAATGTCCAGTCACTAACAAACCGGCGAATGCAAAAAAAAATACATATTACAACAATATAAACGGTTTAAAAAATTGCAGCCCTACAAGTACCTCCTTGATAAAAATTTGACTATTCAACTACCACTGATTGGAATTTAATTAGTAAAGATAATGTTTAAACATTAAAGCAATTACTCTATTATTTTGAAAACAAAAGTTTGAAATTTATAAAGATGCAAGATTTGTTTAGACCAGTGTTTCCCAACCTTTTTTTCTTCGCGAATCAAAAGAAAGGTCAGAAAAAATTTGACGAACCCCCTATGTAGTCGTTAATGACAGGGAAAAAAAGGTAATAAAATCTGATAGAATATATATTTTTCATATTGCAGAATAATTGAGTATATTAATCGTAAAACATTTAAATAAAACATTAATAAGACTAAAATGATGGCTATAAAAGTTGAAAACAAGATAAATTTAACAAACTGGTTCTTATGTTTTACATAGTATTTGATTACTTGAATAAGAGGAATAAATTTTAATGTATAAAATTGTTGATATATTTTGATATTGATGAAGTAATTTTGAAAAACAATTAAGTGAAAAAGAGATGAAAATATTGAAATTTATTATAGATTTCTTAACAAACAGGCATTTTATTGGCGTTTTAAAAAATCCGCCANCTTTTGATTTTAATGGCGTTTTAAAAAATCCGCCATTACAATATTATTTTTGCGAACCCCCTCTGCAAATGCTGCGAACCCCCAGGGGTTCGCGAACCACCGGTTGGGAATCACTGGTTTAGACACTTAAAAACTTTAAATTATCAAATGATTTAAAAAAAACAAAACGTTAATTAATAACTAATAAAACTATAAGCAATTTTTTAAAATTTTAATTTAATTTTAATTTAGCCTGTATGTCTCGACTTACAAGAGGCAAGCAGAGACTTCCAAAGTTAAACAAAATTTATGGGAATATGAAACTGGGCTGCAATTTCACCATCAAAGTATAAGTGAAAATAGAAAAAATCCTACCTTAGTCTACGATGATGAAGATCTAGGCGACGTTCGAGCGATAAGAGAAAAAAAATTGGATAGGAAAATACTTTCGTCGTATACTGTGACAATTTCCATCTTGTCACCACTCCCGCACTTTCGCGCGATACTGTACGCACTCCCGAGACGAAAGCGATCGAAAACTTTGACTGACAAGCCGACCGAAAAAAGAAACTGAACCGAAACACCGAACGCGACCTGAAAAGTACGAAAAAGTCGGCGAACGTAAACTTTTGTGCGAGACTATACATGTGTACATACAACTTCCCTACAAATATCTCAAATTACAAAAAGCTTTTGGGTTTTGAAATCAACAATTACCTGTTCGTTGGACTATCACTGATTGAATTTGAAAGTTTAAATAAACACTACTATAGTAATGGTGTCAATATATTTATTTAATAATATGATGTACATAATTGCCTAGAAAGGTATATATAAGATATCAACCAAGCGGTTGATTTAGGCCTTCATGGCCGTTCGTCTAAAGAAACTGGATTTCTGGACTCAGCTTTTTATTTATGAAATCATGAAGTATTTGACGTTTCATCTCCAACCACAAAGGACATCTTCAGGAACTCCATGTTATCGATGCAGAATGTTTAATGCTAGTGGTAAACCATCTGGCAGTGGCGTAAATAGTTGTAACGAGGTGGTAGCCAACCCATCTTCCCTGTTGAGATTGTTCGAGTGTTTGTGGATTTCAAGTACCTCCTTAGTGACCCTGAGGAAGTAGTGGTTTTCTCCAATTGACATCTTGTCTGGTATAATTGGATGTCGTGTCCTGACCAACAAGTTAGAACATAGGACACGACATCCAATTCGACCATAGAAAGATGCTAGCCAGAGAGAGAGCCACTACTGCTCCAGACCCATCAAGGAAACTCTTGAGATCCACAAACACCCTAACAATCTCAACAGGGAAGATAGATACCTACCACCTCGATACAGCGTAGAAACTGATATTGAAACAAGCCTCTGCCAGAAGATTCAGTTTCAGTTCCATTGAACTCAACTTGAGTTCTTGTAGACATTAATTACAAAAACATATTTAAACGGTATTTGATACTTATCATAAATCTTAAAGTATTAAGATTTCAAAAGAATTCCTTCAATTCAATCAGTAATAATCATTTGAAAACTTTCAGACCTGATGTTTTATACTACAAGAGGTAGGCTGAGATGGTTATGAAAGATTTCCCGCTCTATTCTAACTAAACTGAACCGCCTGCCCCTCTTTGTTGTCAAATTTCCCAAAAAAACTTAGTCTAACCTCAACAACCGATCAACAGTTTGAAAACTTTCACATCTAATGTTTTGCCTTACAAGAGGTAGGCTGTAATTGTTATGAAAGCTTTCTCACTTGTTGTAATTAACTGGACGACCGCCCTTCCCCTACTGTCAAGTAAATTTTACCACAAAAACCCTTATTCAATTCCAGCAATCGTTTAAAAGATGGAAAACTTTTATAACTCATGTTTTCACCCACAAGAGGTGGGATGATGAAATGATTGTAAAAGCTTTCTCACTTTGTAGGAACCGCCCTCCCACCTCCTTGCAGTAAAGTTTCTATAAAAACCCTTTTTCAACCCCAGCAATCGTTTAAAAGTTTGAAAACTTCTACAACTCATGTTTTGTCCCACAAGAGGTGGGCTGAAATGATTGCAAAAGCTTTCTCCCGTTATTGTAACCGTTCTCCCACCTCCTTGCAGTAAAATTTATATAAAAACCCTTTCTTTAATCCAAGAAATCGTTTAGAAGTTTGAAAACTTTTACAAATCATGCTTTGTCCCACAAGAGGTGGGATGAAATGATTGTAAAAGCTTTCTCGCTTTGTTGTAACCGCCCTCCCACCCACTTGCAGTAAAATTTCTATAAAAACCCTTATTCAACCCCAGCAATCGTTTAAAAGTTGGAAAACTTCTACAAATCATGTTTTGTCCCATAAGAGGTGGGATGAAATGATTGTAAAAGCTTTCTCGCTTTGCTGTAACCGCCCTCCCACCTCCTTGCAGTAAAATTTCAATAAAAACCCTTATTCAACCCCAGCAATCGTTTAAAAGTTTGAAAACTTCTACAAATCATGTTTTGTCCCACAAGAGGTGGGATGAAATGATTGTAAAAGCTTTCTCACTTTGTTGTAACCGCCCTCCCACCTACTTGCAGTAAAATTTCTATAAAAACCCTTATTCAACCCCAGCAATCGTTTAAAAGTTGGAAAACTTCTACAAATCATGTTTTGTCCCA